GTACTCAATCTGCGGATATGTCATTTGGTACGGGTGTCCGCGGGATTGCCGACCTCATATTGAATTAAGTCGTCTAATTTCCATCTCTAATGAAGGCTTCCAATTTCCACCCGTCCATCCCAGTTCACTGAGCCCCGAGCGCCGACCTGACGCTAGCCCACAACATGCGGCCCGTCGGGGACGAGCTGTCCCTCATTGATGGCCTAGGCAGATCGCGCACGTGTTGGTCCGTGAGCATGAGTCACATCGGTCTCGTTGTAAAGCCGAACGTATTACGACGCAGCACTCTGTAAGCCGTACAGTGATCCCGCACGGCGATGATACCGACGTCGTCACGGACGGAGGAACGGGTCTGTGGTTTCCATTCCCAGTCTCTTCAGGTGCATACATTGCGTGTTGCATTAGAGTTCGGTTTCGGGAAAGCGCGGCACTGACCGCATACTGTTCTATTACTGGCAAGCATGTGGGTCGGGCAGTGTTGCGAACCCTTGTGGCTTTGTGCAGGTACGCACATTCGTCTACACCAGGCGGTTTTTTTTACGTCTTGATCTGCGCTGTCCAGCCAGATGTGTCGCCAAACCTTAAATTGGCCCAAAACCGGTGGATCCCGGTTTGTCCCGTGATTACGATGGCAGGCTTGGAAGAAAGATTGTGCCCCTGGTCGCCGAAAACTGCATGACGATGCGAATGACTGTTGCGGAGAAGAAATTCAAAGCTGTGTAAGTCTGGGCTTGCCGACTGGCCTAAACAAGCTATAAAAACGCCGAGTAGTTCAAGTGAAGACTGGCTCGTTTTGTATGTTTCCCTCTATTTGCACAAAGAATAGGACAACTTATATCATTTTTGGTAACGGTTTTGCCTGAATATTTTGAAAGAGTGGCTATTCGGGATCAGCACTCGCGCTAATGAGCGTTGCTGCGTGAGTCCTGAGTCCGCCATATTATCATGAAAGGCCGAGCCAACGACCGAACTTTCCCGCAAAATCTTAGCATACCTTAGTGTTCGGCACGGTTCGTCCCGCCCGCTGACGTCATTAGAGCGCGGCCGCCGTCACCGGCCGGAGTCCGCCGCCGTCACCTGCCGGAGTCCGCCGCCGTCACCGGCCGGAGCCCGCAGGCCATCACCGGCCAGAGTCCGCCGCCGTCACCGGCCGGAGTCCGCCGCCGTCACCAGCCGGAGTCCGCCGCCGTCACCGGCCGGAGTTCGCAGGCCATCACCGGCCAGAGTCCGCCGCCGTCACCAGCCGGAGTCCGCCGCCGTCACCAGCCGGAGTCCGCCGCCGTCATCGGCCGAAGTCCGCAGGCCATCACTAGCCGGAGCCCGCAGGCTATCACCGGCCGGAGTCCGCCGCCATCACCGGCCAGAGTCCGCAGGCCGTCACCGGCCGGAGTCCGCAGGCCGTCCGAGACCGAGGTAAACAGCGAGCGCCTAAAGCGACTCGAACCCACCCCGCCACGGATGCGGCAATCTGAAGGCAGGCGCCCTAAGCAACTGAGCTATCGGAACGGACGAATGACAACTGAAACATTACACAGTAAAGACGAGTGAGAATGCGTGTAGAGCGTTGATCTTATGTAATGATAAGATATATGATATGGTTATAAACGAGATGCATATAATAATTGAGTCTTTCTAAGAATTTGGGGGCTTTAAGTTGTTCACCAAACGGTGTTTTCGCACCACATAAGCGGTAGTGTGCCCATCCGGTACAACAGACCCTAGGGCACGTTGGTGCAGAGTGGCGATCGCGTGGCTGGTCATCAGTGTTCAGGTCACGGTCATCAGTGTTCAGGCGCCCTCCGTCACACAAGAGCACACGTATGACCGACGCCCCTCTGTCATACGAGAGTGCTCGTATGACCCACAGGTCCATCGCACTGGGTGCCGGCGCCCCTCCGCCACGCAAGAGTACACGTATGACCGCGCAGTTCCATCACGCTGGGTGTCGTTGCCCCAACCAGTGCCATTTATTTGTGCGTGCGCCGAACACATGACAAGTTGCGTGTTGAAAGCGCGGCTAGTTACGGAGGTCGGCCTGTGATCGCGTCCAGGGATCACAGACCTCTGTGCGGGGAGCTCGCTCAAGGGATGTCCAGCGGATGACTCATTGATGAGGGCCGCTTTAGTAGGGGGTGGATAATGAGAGCTGGGTGGCCTAACCTATGCAGCAGTTGCGAAGCGGTACAACATACGGGGTTCAATGAGGTGATACGAGTGGTGCGTGGGGTGTGCTGGGGTGCACGTGACGTGGTGGGCTCTGGCAGGGTCGAGCCCCAAACATATATACGATTGAAACCGATCATCATGTATGTGAAGACATTTCCAGGCAGTCGCGTGTATTTCGCACAGATAGGTACGAACGAAAGCACCGTAAACTCCTCTAATGTTTTAGGGTCTGTCATTCGATGCCCATGCTTCCTTTTACCGGTTTGGTGCATGCAGGGGTCTGGTAGCACGAATGCATTGTGACCTCACTGGCACACAACTGTGCGAATTTTGCCGCTCTGGTGCGTACTCCATCGTGCCAACCATGAAGCTCATTTTCTGATAATGTCGGCACTTTCCAATAGCTCAAGGTCTGGTCTACTGGGATCAGTTCATTCCTAACTACGCCAAGTTTTCTCTTATTACGTCATGCACGACTGATGTAAGGGTTGGGTGTTGACCCGCTGGATTGCGTCAGGTAGTCGTGGGATGTTCACGGTGCAGTTAAGCTGCACTTATAGGAAGGTAGTTAAGCCGCGCGTCAGGGAAACCAGAAGTACGGGGTTCGCTTGCAGTCCCCGCCCTTGCTGCCAGGGTGAGAGGCGGGCGACGCTATATAGCCCAGGCAGCTGCGCCGTAAGTCCTGATGACTCGCCCACTGCCCGCGCCGTTTTGCCGCCTTGTACGATCGCCTGATGATCATGACATCTGAGTATCCGTACTCCGGTACTCTGAGTATCCGTACCGTACTCCGGAAGACGCGTCACTCTCCGCCGGGCGCCGGGGGACAGCTGGCGGGTGGGGGGAGGGGGGGGGGGGGGTACAGGTGTTTTGTGTCTCCGCTCACCACGCCATTGTTTTCCCATCGAGCTGCTAACGACGCGGCGGCGCGGCGCCAGAAATACGCGCCGCCGGCCCTGTTTATACACCAGCCGGCTGTGGGCTGAGCTGCAACTGGAGATGTCCGGCCCCGGACGGCCGAGGCTGTCCTGGCGTCCCGGCGGCGGCGCGTGCGGGTAGGATTGCGGCGTCCCCTGCCGTCGGGGACGTCTATCAGGGCCGGACTGCATGATTGTGGTATAGTAACGCCATAGGGTCGCGGCGTCCCCTGCCGTCGGGGAAGTCTGCCATTGGGGCTTTACGACGCACTCAGCTGCTGAGGCTATATGGCGTCGCCTGCCTCTCACCCTGGCAGGGAGGGCGGGAACCGCGGGGAATCGAACCCCGTACCTCTGGTTTCCCAGACGCGAGTGGTTAACGTAGACGCGTTAACCACTACACCTCGGCACCCCTAGGCCGTCGGGGAAGTCGCTCAGGGCGAGACTGCGTGGCTGTGGTATAGCAACGTCATAGGATCCCGGCGTCACCTGCCGTCGGGGAAGTCGCTCAGGGCGAGACTGCGTGACTGTCGTATAGTAACGCCATAGGATCCCGGTGTCACCTGCCGTCGGAGACGTCGCTCAGGGCGAGACCGCGTGGCTGTGGTATAGCAACGTCATAGGATCCCGGCGTTCCCTGCCGTCGGAGACTTCGCTCAGGGCGAGATTGCATGGTTGTGTGGTGACGTCCTGATGGCGACTGCCGAGGCGGTGACGTCATGCGGCCGTAACAGACGCCGCAGCCGGTTGCCGAAACAGAGGTGCACGGATGAAGTACACCAGGGCACGTGCTCCTCACTTAATTTATGTCATGTATCAATATGCATGTGGCGGAATGTTTACACCTAAAAATCCAGGTAGGCACACAAAATAGTAAGATCAAGAACACACTGCATTGTTTGACGATACGCAAGAAATTGTGCGCACCTGTGGCGAACCAGATTCGATTTCCAGTGCACATGTTTCATTGTGTCCCCTGCCCATGGTGGGATCCCGCCGCCCTTCGCGGTCGGACCCATTTCATCAGATGGTGGAATGATTTCTTAAGCGCTCAGGCCGGGTGGGATGTGGCGGTTTTTAAGCTGTGACTCAAAGCTTTCCGCTGAGAAACTTCTCTTACCGCAGGGAGGAAATGCTTTACCAGTAGCTTGTCACGAAGTTCCAGGTTGGGTGATCACTGCATGCTAAAAAAGGATTGCCAATAGTTTCTTACGAAAAAGAGATGTCCGGCTGGAAGGAAGTGGCATAGATATATGGTATTTGTGCTTCATTAGCCGGTTTACTGCCATTTTAGAATGGCAATAACTTGTCTGTTTGTATCGCTGCAGCTACGATGGAAACACGCCTAGATGAACTGTACGTGCATGTTCGTCGTCAGCACACAAGAAATGCTGCAAGAAACCATTCCATTTTCCGCGTGTCATGAAAAACCTCCAGGTTGTGCGGGTTAGCAGCCTGGGCATCCACTTACGTCACAAGGATGTTAGAACACAGAACTGCGCCAACCGCACACTATGGTTTGATTCAGACACGATCGAAGGCTGACTGGCACAAAGGCTGCGTTGTAAATTGTACGATGACAACGTGTAGCGATTTTGTGTAACAACGTACGACGATAACGTGTAGCGATTTTGCGTAACAGCGTTTAACGATTTCGTGCGTTTTGATAGCGGTCATGCAGTCTGAGAGCTTCCCGTGCTAGATTAAGCATGCGAAAACTCAAAAGTTACAGAAGCTACGATCACCTTCAGCCATATTTTCAAAGACGGTAGCAGTAGCCTTCTTCCTCGGAGAAAAACCAGGAACGCTTATCGAAATTCAGCTGTTTCCTCACATGTCTTAGGTGTATGAATAATGTTCCTCGCAAATGCATTGAACAGCTTACGTAATTTTCAGCCATATTTCCTCATATCTTCACCAAAGTACACCGATTTATTAAAATATATAGATACAAGGGGCGATGCATCCATGATATGTTGCCAGATGGCAAAATGCAGCATGGCAAAATGTTACAATCGTGATAATTTCAATGACAGTTCGTATGACGCCACCAAATCACCATGCTAAATGCCCCGCCCATGACTGCAACAGACAATTGGACATAATCAGATTTCATGGTGCTAGCGGGCTATATCAACAGGCTGACCAGAGGCAATTGTAACTGGTGTCATAGCAAAAGTAACGCAGCCGGGACGCAGAGGAAGCTGCCAGCTACCAACACCCTCAGATAGTAATACCGATCACTTGCTTTAGTTAAGCGCTACACCGATATTATCACCAACTTTCTGAAGGTCGCGAGAAGACCGCGCGCGGCGCGAGTGCGGCTGAGTAGTCTGCGTCCGCTTATCCCGATACATGCGCGCATCGATGACAACACTGTCTCGTTCTCGTAAGTCGTCTTGAATCACTGAACGCTTCAGAAATTCAGTCGTTTCCTTACACCCTGTTCAACTCACCTCTACCCCATACCGGTCATGCACTTTCCACACGTCAGGTGCGTGTGGCGGCGGCCTCCTCACCACCGCCGCGCCCGCACGTCACCAGCCCGTGACGTCACCAGCCAGTGGCATGTCCAGCCACCACGCCGCCCGAAGTGCCGCGCCGCCACCGCGGGCAGCGGAGCGGCCCGCGCCGACCGCCGCCGTCGCTTCACCGCAGGCAGTTGTAGTTGGTGTCGTACGGCCCGCCGGCGTAGCAGGCGAACTCGGCAGGCGGGTACGGCTCCTCCTGGACTCGTGTCACGCCTGATGACGTCACCGTCTGGTCGGACCACGCCTTCTGCGCCGTGTACGGCCAGCTCTGCGGCAGACGGGGCACACGACCACGTCACAGATCATGGTCAAGGCATCTTCTGCGCCGTGTACGGCCAGCTCTGCGGCAGACGGAGCACACAACCATGTCATCAGTTACGGTCAAGGCATCTAATTCAGGTGACCATCATCGGGAAATTCATAACACATAATCTCATTCGGGCAAACTCTTCCCCATCCCGTCTGGAATGGTCCGTCCTCCTCATTCCGTGTTCACCGTTTGGCCACACCGCCTACGGCGCTGACACCATAAAAGGTGCCCATGCATAGTGCTGGCAGGCTGCTCTGACCTCCAGGCTCGTTCAAGCGCACCGATAGGAGCCCATCACACGGAGTATTACACACCACATCGCATCAAACCGACAACGCGCAGGTCACGGACAGTCAGCCTGACTAACAGCGCCTGTCGTACCCGGCTTCGGCACGACGACACAGGGCGGCGCACGTCGCTCGCCTCCAGCGCCCGGCCAAGACAAACCGCATGCCATCGTCCAGCGATGCATCTGCACGCCTTGTGACGGCGGCGAACGGCGCCGCTCCGCGCCACGTCACGCGCGCGTCGCGCGCGACGGGCGGCGCAGCGCCGCGCCTCTGTGACAGACGCGGCGCCGCTGTGACGGACGCGGCGCCGGGGCCCGAGCCCCCGGGGCGGTGCGGTGAGCGGGCCGCCGTCGGCACCGTCAGGTCGCGGCAGGCGGCCGTCGGTCGGGCGCCTCGAGGGCGGAGAAACCGCACTGTCATCGTCCGTCTGCCGCCCGCGGCGACCTCGGATCAAACGCTCGGAGCAGGAATGTCAACGGCGCAGGGTCTGGGGTTTCATTTGAACCGCGGTGTGGTACGCAAGGTATGCTGCCTCACCGTGAAGGACGTCGACAGGTGTCAAACCACTCGGACTGTTTTTTTAAGGTCTCCATCCCGTGGGGAGCTGGCGTGGGATGGGCTCGGTTGTGCGGTTGCGGTTGTTTATCACGCGATTCTTCCTTCCAGGTATCGAAAATGGGCTGTTCAGCTGCATCGTAAACATTTAGTGTGCATAAAACTCAGAAAGGAGATTAGCGTTAGGCGTCTCACCGCTTCTCATCCACTGACTTCGCGCATCCCTGGCGGATGTGGAGGGCTTCAAAACATTACAAACTCGCGTAAACGTGTCGTCCGCCCCCCCCCCCCCCCCTCGGCGGAGCGCTGCCCCGCCCCAGCCGCCATGACAAGTCAGCGCGCTGCCAGAGGGTGCCGCCACCCGGCGGCGCGTGCTTCCTCCCGCACCTTCCGCGCCGGCAGCTTTGAAGGGCGAAGCGGGCCCGCGCCGCCGAGCTCCGCCGCTTCTGATTGTAACCAGATAGCGCTGAGTGCCGCCGGACTTTTTAAATCCTTTCGGCGCGCTAGGCGCGGTCCGCGCGGCGTCGCGCCGTTTTACAGTCGGCGCGCGTAAACAGCGCGCCATATGGGGAGCGTCAGCGCGGGGACGCGCGCTTTATGACCAATCAGAGTGTTTGTTTCTCCGGCAGTCCGCCAATCGGAAGCGTGATTCGATACGCCCCGGGAAAATAAACATTTTAGCGTGATTGACAGAGGGTGCGATTTAGTATCGGCCGATGCCCCTGCGTCGACGTCGACGCTCGTCTGGCGCGGGTCGACGCTGCTCCTGCGGCGTCTCCGCCCCGCCCGCAGTGTTCCCATCGCGCCCATCACGGAGGGAGACAGGCTGTTTGCCCACACCTATACGTTTCACCCCGCGGGCTGACCTAGTGACTGCGCCGGCGTACCTCTTCCGAACACAAACACTGCGGCCCTGCGTAAATATGCGACCCGCGAGCATGCCTGTACCGAGCGCGCGTCCGAAAATAGATCATGGAGCCAATCGACGGATGGTCATCGGCCGGTAACTGACCGCGGGGAGGGGTAATGTTCGGACCCGACGCCGGCGAAACGGTCCACCCACGGCCGGCGTTAAGATAACATCCCGACTTCGGTGGACTGACTCACTGTCGGGATAAAGTATGTGTCTCTGTCAAGTGATAAGTGTCAAGACTGTGGGACTGCTAGGCATGCAGCTGAATGTTGAAAAACTGATGCAAGCTTATTGGTGTTATGAGTTCATCCCAGTTCTTCGGTTGTTCGGCCACATATTTGAGTGCTAGTCCTAGCCTTTTTGGCAGCTGCCCGAGTGAGACCACCACTATATCGACTGACTGACAGAAGGCTCCTCTTCTCGCCAGTCTATCCAACGACGTTTGCAAGCACGGAATTACAAGCTCATTTAACTGTACGCCAATCGTCAGCAATGAACACCATGCTTAGAAAAAGGGAAAACACATGGGCAGTGCTACCATGCTGTTGGCTGCTTCAATGGGTTTGCGCTAGTACAAAGTGAGTGAAATCCAGTTTCCCATACAATGCTGCCTCCGATTATTTTAGCTAAGCTGCGGGTGATTTTGCTGGAACCGTACAATGCCACAACATGGCTCTCTTGTTTCAGGCATACCGATGCGAGCCAGCTACCACCTGACCTTACCTGGCCGACCGGCTCACACAATGCGCACGTTTCGAATCATGTGTACACCCGCGAGAACAACCAGATCGCGAGACTAGCCTCTATTTCCAGGATGGCGGTCGCGGCTGTTCGCCGACCCTGACTTCGCTGGTCTAACCCCAGATCACCATGAGAGCCGGGTGGGGGTAGACGGTGTCGGCCAGGCTGTCCGGGCCCAGCCCTGCTCACCATGAGGGCCGGATGGGGGTAGACGGTGTCGGCCAGGCTGTCCGGGCCTAGCCCTGCTCACCATGAGCGCCGGGTGCGGGTAGACGGTGTTGGCCAGGCTGTCCGGGCCCAGCCCTGCTCACCATGAGGGCCGGATGGGGGTAGACGGTGTCGGCCAGGCTGTCCGGGTCGGCGTCCAGCAGCGCCGCCAGATGCTTGATGTAGGAGGAGGCCAGTCGCAGTGTGTCCAGCTTGCTCAGCTTCGTATCGGAGGGCACCCACGGCAGCGTTGTCTGCCGGAGCGCGGCCTCGTTAGGCGAATGGTTGCCGAAAACCATACATTCAAAAAGGCCCAGGCCGCGCTATAGCCTGCGTTCGTACAGTCGTGAGAGTGGTAGAGATACTATTGAGAGAGAAAGTTCGCGCCAGTTGTACTGTTAGCAACCAAAGGACGATGAACAGGGAGCATTAGCAGCAGTTCCCGTCGTAATGGGGCAAACCAAGCGCAGCAAAACGATCATCACGAAAACGCCAGTGTTCACGGAGTTCCCGACAGAGCCCGCAGGACACCTGCTGCCGCTGGACCGTCCCCAGCAGCGAGTCTTGACTCGCCTTGAGTCGTGTGAACGCCTTGCTGAGGATCCTCATGCGGGTGCGCTCGCGAGCGTTGGCGGCGTTCCTCTGGAGCGGCTTCTCGGGCGCTCCTGAGGAGCTGACGGACGAGCTGGAGTCGCCGCTGCACTTGCGGCGCCGTGGCATCCTCGTCTGCCGGGTCAGGACCGGGTCAGGAGGCCGGGGCGGCGGGTCACACCGGGTGCAACACGTCGTGACTGCGAAGCACCGGCAAGTCGGGAAAGGGTCACTCGGTCAAGCCCCCCCCCCCCCCTTCCTCCTCGACGGCTGCTGTCCAGCAGATGGCAACATCTGGGGGTCACGGCCCTGTCGCGGTTTCGGTGACCTGACCCGGGGGTGTGGCCCTGCTCTCAGTCTCGGCAGCAGTCCACGGGCCGCCGGGTCCCAGAGGTGGACAGACGCCCGCTGCATGTAGGGCAGGTATGTGCGCGTTTGCGCGTGCGTCACCAATCAGCACAGGGCCACAACCCTCGTGGCGCGCCAGCAAATACATTTGTTATGTTATGTCATGTCACTCCGGTTATGCTGGCACACAGGAAAGTATCACAGATGTGAATGTAGTGTTAATCTCATGGGTGTTTCAAAATCACTTGGTTGAGCAATTAACGTGTAACATGCGTGCTCGCGTCTATTTTTCAAAACATACGTGATGGGAGGCATGTTCGTCGCGCTGCTACACGCTATGGCGCGTGCAGAGGTATACACACAGTCCTGGATGTTGAAGACATATTTTTTAATGATGCCCGTTAGCAGCCCAGAGCGCATGGAGACGTCGATGCGAAGATCGATGAGTTCCTTCCTATAGGAAAATCATAAGCGCGGTTGGAAAAAATGCGACCAGTTGAGTGACATACCATGAGTATCCAAGACGAAAGGCAGGACAGCGATCTACGACGAGAATTCCGAACGTGTCGAAACAGCCCTAAAACACATTAAGGAGAAGCCTATGGTGTCCAGTGGACATTATAGGATGTCCACTGGATGATGTCCAATGTATAATGTCCACTGGACACCTTGACTTATTTTGGCTTTGTTGGCTTCTTGACTTATCTTGGTGCCACGCTTAAGTCAGCGGAGAGGAATGGAAGACGATGATGTGCAGATTAAAATGTACTTATGAAACGGATGGACAATCGCGAAATTTATTGAAACAGACGATGAGGAAATAGCAGGTTCACAATGCCGCATGAAGAAATACAAAGTGGTGGTCCTACGGTAGTATTTCTTGAGAATGCCAACTGAAATTCAAAGGGCAGAGATTTCCGAGGCATACATGACGCAAGTCGGTAACATACGCCTGGAGCTGGGCTTGCCACATCGCTTCATACGAGTATATGAAGCAATGAGACATCTTTACCTCATGTATGGAGATCTTGTCTGGGGAAGTGAACATGTTTCGGAACAAAATGCAAGTTCTGCGTCATCCGACTAAAGGAAATCGGTGAGCCACAGTCACTTCATGCGGCCACCGTTTTCGGACTCTGTGCGGTGCCTTGGAACGTCGGCCATTCTCGTAATGTATCACAACGTTTGCTTGATATCTTCGTCGAGCCAGCACTTCCAGGCACATCGAATGTTAGCAGTTTGGGGTATAAGAACGCATGACGTTCCCAGATGTGGTGCTGTTTCTCCTGTCCGGTAGCGTAGACGAGCCTATCGGGGTGTGGACAAGAGAGTAGCCGCATGAAATCGTACCCAAGCCTAGCGTCGCTGAACGTGTGATGGCGTGTTATCAGAGCTGGGCGCACCACTGGATCGTTGCCAATTAAAAAAACAAAAAAAAGAGCGGAATCATTTTGGGGGTGAGGGCAAATGCTAATGCAAGCTGCTAAGAAACAGCACCGGCCAGCGATCAGGTCTGACGAAGGCATCAGCACAAGCAGCCCATGGCGCTCGCAGAAGAGAAATGCTTGCGAACAGGAGCCTCAAGAGATGTTTATAGACAAATCCGTCTCGGCTTGGTTTAAGAGCCCATGAATCACACGCAGCCCGACCCGGTCACAATATGTCAATTTGTGTATCAATATATGGCATTAAATGCAATATAATAACGAGCGAAAGTGGTATGCTTGTGTGGATGGTGCCACAGCAAAGACGAAACAGGGAGTAGATAATCGGGAACCCACTGAACTGTATTTTCGAGTGTTTTGAAGTGCAGATCTTCATCATGCTATGTATTTACGGAATTTCTCCGCGTAACGCTCATGAAAGATTCAAAAACGCATCTTTCGAAATGGTTCGGGTGTGGTTCTCAGCAGTGCATTTAAGCTGACGTGTCGAACTGTTCTCAAGCTACGAGATTTCTTGTAATTTTGGCTTAAGTATTGCAAGAATGCGAATATATTTGACAGATATTGCTCACAGTGAAAGCTGGGCTATCCGCATGGGTAGTCTTAGTTGATCAGTCCTCAATCCGCCACACTGAACAAGAATTCTACGCCTGTCACGCGGAAGGCAGCACTGTTCGTTAACATGTCCATTACTGGTGTTGAACAGCAAAGATCGCAAAAAGCGTTGCAGACGGTATATTCACCAATACAACGTGGTTGACCTCACGTTTTGATCCACTCTGGTAATTGAGAAATTACATGAATCCAGTGAAAAGGCCCCAAAATTGACCAACTCAACAATAATGACGGTCTTTGTGTTCGAATGTACGTGAAACAGCGATGACGGTGTTTGTGTTCGAATGTGCATGAAGCAGCGATGACGGCGTTGGTGATGGAGTGCGCGTGTAACAGCGATAACGGTGTTGGTGATCGAGTGTGCGTGACTAGCTCCATCCACGGACGCACACGTTTATGATAGCGATCGTCCGTTCTGCCTGCGGCTAGCGGTGTTGGTTGCGCGCTCCTACATCGCCGGGCCGATTAATGAGTATATGCAGAATGCATATATAGCGATTTGGGCGTATAGCACATATGCTTATATACATACAAATAAAAACTTACAAACAAGACAAATATGAAAAAAGTTCCTGCATATTGTATAAATACTGTTTATAGTACTGTCCCTTGCATAAATGATTTATACCCATACGAGCATATGGAGCACTGATGCATCTCTCACTCATGTATGGAAGATCCTGTCTACGAAAGTGAACATACTTCAGGATAAAGTTCATGTTCTACGCAGTCAGACTGAAGGAGACGTGTAAGTTACAGCCACCATTTTCGGATGCTGCGCAGTGCCTTGGAACGTCGTGACCCAGGACTTCCATGCAGGTAAGTAGGTCAAAGGTTAGCAGTTCGGGGTATAACAATCCGTGACGTTCCCAGAACTAGCGTTGTTTCTTCTGTCCGGTAGCGTAAACAAGCATATCGGAGTGTGGACAAGAGATAAGCCACATGAAATCATACCCAAGCCTAGCGTCGCTGAACATGTGATGGCGTGTTATCAGAGCTGGGCGCACCGCTGGACCGTTGCCAATTAAAAAACAGGACGGAATCATTTTGGTGGTGAAGGCAAACGTTAGTGGAAGCTACTAAGAAACAGCACCGGCCAGCGATCAGGCCTGACGAAGGTATCGGCACGAACAGCCTGTGGCGCTTGCAGGAGAGAAATATCTCCGAACAGCGGCTTCAAGAGATGTTTGTAGACAAATCAGTCTCGTCTCGGTTTGAGAGCCCTTAAACTACACGCAGCCCGAGCTGATAACAATTTGGTAATTTTGTATCAGTGCGTGACATTATATGTACAATGATAATAGGCGTAAATGTAAGCTGTTCAATGTATCTGCGAGGAACATTATTCACATAGACAAAACAGAAGTAATAGCCTTATTGCTCAGAGAAAAATCAGGAGAATGCAGATAAATATGGGTTGATGTTTCGGCAACATGCCTTTATCGAAACAATAGCAGAAGTCCCTTAAAGCCAACATGATTTTACCGAAACAACTTCTGCTATTGTTTTGATGAAAGCATGCGGCCAAAATATCAAGCCATAATATCAACCCACCTTTACCTCCACTCTCCTGATTTTTCTCCGATGAATAAGACTATTACTACTGTCTTACAAGCTGAAGTGGTATGATTGTGTGGATGGCGCCACAACGAAGACAAAACAATGAGCAGATGATCGGCGACCCACTGAAATGTATTTTAGATTGTTTTGGAGTGTAGATTTCATGATATTGTGCATGTAGAGAACTTTTCTATGTAACATTTACAAGCAATGCAAAAACCCGTTATTCGAAATAGTTTGTGTATGGAGTCTCACCAGTACTTCTAAGCTGACATGGCCAACTATTCTCAAGTTGCATATTTTTTTATATTTCTGGCCAAGTATTGCAGGACTGCAAATATATTTGACAGATATTGTTCATATTGAAAGCCAGGCTATCCGCTTGCGTAGCCTTTGTGGTCAATCCTCAATCCGCCACATCGAATTATAATTATAGACCCGTCTTGCAAAAGGCAACATCGTTGGTTAACATGTCCTTTACTGGCGTCGAACAGCAAAGACCGCAGAAACCGTTGCAGGCAGCATATTCACCCACGCAACGCAACAACGATGACGGTGTTTGTGCTTGAATGTGCGCGAAACGGTGATGACGGTGTTGGTGATCGAGTTTGCGTGTCTAGGTCCATCCACGGACGCACACGTTTATGATGGCGATCGTCCGTTCTGCCTCTGGCTAACGGTGTTGGTTGCGCGCGTCTACGTCGCCGGGCCGATTAATAAATATATGCAGACTGCATATTATAGCGATTTGGGCGTATAGCACATGTGCTTATATCTATACAAATGGATACCTGTAGATGATAGAGTCTATGCCTACCTACGCGTATGCATATATATGCATGTATATGTATATATACAAATTTATACAAATATATACATACATATATAGATAGAGAGAGAGAGAGAGAGAGAGAGAGAGAGAGAGAGAGAGAGAGAGAGAGAGAGAGAGAGAGAGAGAGAGAGAGAGAGAGAGAGAGAGAGAGAGAGAGAGAGAGAGAGAGAGAGAGAGAGAGAGAGAGAGAGAGAGAGAGAGAGAGAGAGAGAGAGAGAGAGAGAGAGAGAGAGAGAGAGAGAGAGAGAGAGAGAGGTATAATACCCGTGCCGTGCCACGTTTGTTCCAGGCAGAAGACTCACGTTATCCATGCTAACCAAATGCTCCTACGACATCTATAGTTTCCATATTGTGCGATTTGTATGGTGAAATACAAATGATGAAACAGCTTGCATGCAAATTCGTGGTACATTACAGAATACACCTTCGCAAGCTATGCCAGCGGAGCTGGGAAATAACTCAAAACATAGTACGAACGACATGTAATGTATATATATATATATATATATATATATATATATATATATATATATATGAATGTAGATTATAAAGTGCTATATTATAAAAGTAACACTTGAGGTCTACCTTGACGTATCGAATTTGGTACAGTGAGGGTTGTTTCCCATTGCTTAATTCTCAGCGTCGATGCTGATACACGGGGACGTAGTCACGGCCGACTGGTCACCTTTTCCAACTTTTTGCACTTACAAAAATAGTTTTGGCACAGCGCTTACCTTTGTGTACTGTCCACAACACTTGCAGGATTCGTGGACGTGCCACAAGACGATTCTTCCCACAGTCTTTGACGTTGACTTTTGCCCATCGGCACCGACGAAACCGACGATCGCCCCGGCTTCTGATTGGCTGCTGGCCGATTAGTGGGCGGGGCGCCGACTGAAGCCACCCCGTCAGCGTCGACGCAAAACCGAAGGCCTGGATGGCGCGGCAACTGCTACGTCGTACTGTAGATTTCCGTTGATGCTTTGTCCCCGTTTCGGTCCCTCGTCTAGATGCCTTTCATCAAGCGGAATCACGATAATATTCGTTCATACCGCCTTTACATGTCGGGCCGCACTACCGGTGACTCTCCGCAAAGTGTTTGCAAGTCCAATCCAACCCATAACACAATCAGCCTAAATGATACATCAGCAGATCTTGTATTTTTTTAGCTCTCCTGCAACATTTAAACTCATTGATTGTTAGATTTTGCCCAAGACATTCAAACAACATCCAAAGCATTGACCAGACACACGTTGCCAAGGTCGCTTATTACTGTTTAAGATGCATAACCTCTGATATCGTCAATTTGACTTCAAGCGCTGACTTTCACATCTGTTATCGCCTCGAACATCTTATGCAGTGTAAGGTGTCCTTCTGGTTCAATTGGTGACTAAAACAGCTTACGGTTAACTATGACCGCATAAGCAAACTTAACAAACTTGCGCATGTGTTGTTATTTTTGTGTTGATTCGTTACCGTGAATTTTTCCTTTCCAGACATGCTTTTCATCCTACCATCCTTTGAAAGCTCTATACGAGGAGAATTGATCTAACAACATTCCCAGGACAAAATACGGAACCTAATGTTGGTTTGTGAGTCGTGCCAACGTCATTTCAGCAATAACTCGCATGCGTTCGCCTTCAGTTGTTTTGCGTAAAGCCATTGCATTCATGCAAATCTGTCCGTCCAGGAGCTAACTATTTACTGCTCACGGTGGACGTAAGCTTTAAACTTCTCGTGCAGTTGATTCCACGTTACTTTTCGACCAGCAAGTAATCTACAGGGCTGATTGGATAGCGTTAAGAATGGCTTATCAATTTGCATAGAACAGTCGTAAATAATGTCAGACGTTTGTTGATTTACAGCTTTCGACGCTGAGAATGAGCCATCGTAAACAGTGTTTTCCACTGTCCTTTGCATTTTCATAAGGGCCTTATGTATTTGGCAATGCCACCGGGAATGTTTTTGAGCCCGCTTTAAAAAAGCTTCGGGACCGAGACGCATAACGAAAGTTTGTCATGAAGACGATTCCTCCAAGGCAGACCACCCAATTTTTATTGGAAATAAGCTCACCCTGTGTTAATTGCATGTTATTTGCATGCACTCACATGTTGTCCGCTGTCCTCAAACACGCAGCCGTTGAGGTCCCATCACCTGAGAGCCAGGCATCCGACACCGAGGTTACAGGGCCTCTGCGCCTTGTCTTCCATGACGTCACCGTCACCGGGTCGTGACCCCTGACCCGGCGGCCGGTCGACAAATAGGGGGCGAACCGGGGAGGGGAGCAGTCCCGGAGACCGGCTATTTTCGCCCGCAGGACGTCCGTCACAGCCGGTCCTGGGTTCGCGGGCACGTGACGTTAGATGGCTGTTGTCTGTCGAGCATCTCACCGACACACGACATCTGGTGGTGCGTTTTGATGTTCTTTTTTATTCAGACCGCCTCTCTGCTGTCACGGCGAAGCCACACGGACAGGCGATCACTTTTGGCAATCCAATTCAGTGTTATGAGACGGGTACTTAGGAGGCACATGAGCGCGGGAGAAGCACATCATTCGTCATGGCTTCTGTGCAGACATTTCATGTCTCAGGCAGAGATGGCTAGTCCACGAGAAGGGCAGCAAAGATAATGCGGGTTAGCAAGCGATCAGTCGCCGATAATGCATGGGCGGACGGAGCGAAATCAAGTAGGCCGAACGACTTAATTGCAGGCTGTTGCCCGCCATAGATGTGTATAGAAACAGCTAAATGACATGTGAGCAAGTTTTGCGTACTTTAAAATATTTCGTCAAGCTCAAATATTAAGTCAATCTCAAAATATCTCGTAAGTTCAACTATTTAGTCAATCTCAAAATGTCTGATAAGTTTTGTGAATTATATTCATGAGGGAGCAATTTTGGTTCATTTTTATGTTTCGCTAGTTTGAAAACAAACTGCCTTAAACTCGAAACGCTTCTCATGTATTTGGAGTACAAAGAATTCTACACCGAGCTGCACTCGTGCCATAACTCAGTGTTGAGGCGCCGATCGTCCATTAAGCCCTATCTCTTTTCTCGACATCTGCACTTAAAAGCGATTCACCACTCCACAGCTGATCCAGAGCTGATAACACATCATGCAGATCACGTGAAGTGCGCTGATTTGATGTTCAGCCTAGCGAATTCCGTCGGCGGTACGTGCGTTCGGCACCGGCCGGCTGACTGAAGAAGTTTGCGTCGGCGTCAGCGATTGGTCGCAGCCGGCTCGGGCTGTGTTTGACAGCCAGCCAGCGCCGAGAGCATCGTTACTATTTATGCCGCAGCGCCGCCGTTTGATAGTCGGCTGTTTACTCGATAAATACCGGGAACATTACTCGGCTGACCCCCTTCCCCGCGGCGGAGAGGGGACGTGACTAAGATTACGACAGGGACACGCGGGGGACGGGGTAATGCACAGATGAAAGGGTACTAAAGAGGACGCGAAGACACATGGAGGGGCTCGAGTGGAAATGAGAGTGGAGGTGGGAGGGACGAACAGCAGTAAAGATAAGTGGAGAAGGAAAGAAAACGTGGAAACGGAATGTAGAGAGTGATTGAAATCTGTATTGTTGAAAGACAGAAAAAAAGAGACGGATACAGCACACAATGGCAAAGGAGAATGAGAACAAGGTAAACACAAGAGTGAGATAAAAATGAGAGCAAGGAAAAGTACGCGAAGTAAAGAGACATGCCCGGTAGAGGACCTTGGCCTCTCTCTCCCCACCGTCGAGGCGAGCAGGTGGACTGTGGGAGGGGGCGCGCCCACTGACCTACACAGCCGTCTTTTTAGGTGGCCGCCGGCTCCGGTTACAGCCCGCTATTTGGCGGGAATTCACGGTCAGAAGGGGGTCGCGTGCCGCGCGCTGGTGACGACAGACCCGGCGCAGGCCCGCGCCGCACCTCACCGCGGTGTCGTCGGCAAAAACAGTTGAAATATCGGTGGCCAGGGGGACGTGACAACCACGCATTCCGCGACTGTGACAAAACAGAGATGGTCAGACGGGACGGACGGCGGTGCTTGATCCGTGTCGTACCCACACACACCGGCTCTGTACAGAGATAGCCAGACGGGACCGACGGCGGTGCCGCTCGCTCCGTGTCATACCCACACCGGGTCTGTAGTGTGAGGGCGACCCACGATCCGTCCAAAGCCGAGATGTTCTGAGTTTTAGCGCTGTTGTCATGTGACGCTGATCAGTATGTCGGCTGACTGATGCTTGTAGCTGTCAGCCGACGAAAGCTTGTACATAATGGCACAATACATCAATGACGTTGGAAGTACAGCAGTGCTTAAATTCCATCATCAAATGGATGGCCCTGCTCTTCCCACGTGACATGTCATCTTCTATAGTTTGCTATCGTTTGCTGTCTGCAGCTATGCCTTAACTCAGAAACCGTCAAAGCAATGCCAACATGTCCCGTGTACGTCAAATATTACGTGATCCATCATCGTAAGTTAAATTAATTTGGCCGGTTGAGAGATCGAAACGGGGATGCCATGCCAGCCATCTGCTTACCAGCATGATGATTTGGGTTAAGACACATAAAACACTGGACAAATAAGTGAACGTGAAGACCATGAAGACTGAGTCTTTCGAGCACTCAGGTAGCGCTTCGAAGTGCGCTCGCTGGTCACACCTCCGGGGGACCTCGCGGGAATGCACGCACCAGCTGCGGGGTTCGCTAATTAACGATCCCGTGCGAGGCGGTCGGCGCATGACCACCGGACTATTAATGACGTCGGTCAGCCAGGGGTCGCTGCCGGCTCAAGACGTTACCCCACACTGGCCGCGACTTACAAAAACACGGCTGGGAAGCGTCTCGAGGACTGGTGCGTATGTGGGCTGGCGGCCTGGGATTTTGATGCTCTCCTGTGATTTTGTTGTGGCTGCACTTGATGTGGTACTTGGCCCCGATATTTCTGAGACGGATTGGTACAGGCTTGCTTTCTCTCCTTGTTTTGCACGCTCAGACGTCCGAATGTCCCGATGTTCCGATTAACGGTATACCGACCTTGACGAAGAACGCTGGCGCGGAGCCGGTGACGCTGCATGCCAGCTCTGTCCTCGGAGAAGTGTAAGCTTCAGCTGCTGCTACCCAGCTGCTGCTGAGTAGCGGCAGCTGCCGGCGGGTCACGCCCCCGAGGAGAAGGCCGGTTCAGGTCGATCTATCGGTCAGCGAAGCAAGCGAGCTGGATCGACATACGCTCAGGAAACTGCCTGGCAGCTATCGGGATTTTTTCGCAAACAGCAGCGATGAGTGATTTCACGCATCTGACCCAGTTCACCATCAACACAGGACATTGTTTTCCAGTGGCATTCGAGGCGCGGCGGACTGCGTGACACTTGATGCCCGGGGTCAGGTGACAGACAGCTGAGGTGGAGGCTCGCGGAATCATCCATTCGTTCAGTTCGCCCTGGTCCACGCCACTCGTGATGGTCAAAAAGTCGCACGGGGTCTATCGTTTTGCAGTACAGTTGAGAGAGTTCACTCGCAACACACAGGATGCGGCCAGGTATATTCCGACGGTTAAAGAGTGATTCAGTAGTAAAGTAGGCTTACGTTGGATTTCCACACTGGATTTGAATCATGCTTGCTTGTGAGTCTTGGAAGCTCCAAGTCATCGAAAAAGCGCGTTTTCTGCGGGGGATAAACGATGATTATTCCTGCTCACACATGATGTCGGAGGGGTCATGCTACGCGGTACGCTGCTAACGGAGTGACAACTTACCTGGATGGCATCGGCGCGGGTGGACGGACTGTGTCGCAATATTCATCTCTGC